ACAAGAATTCAAAAAAATGAGGAGAAGCTTAGGAACCTCCAGGACATCATTAAATGTTCCAACATCTGAATTTTAGAGGTACCAGAAGGGGAAGAGGAAGAGCAACAAGTGGAAAAGTTATTTGAACAAATAATAAAGGAGAACTTCCCCAGTCTGGCAAAGGAAATAGATTTTCAGGAAGTCCAAGAAGCTCAGAGAGTCCCAAAGAAGTTGGTCCCAAGGAGGAACACACCAAGGCACATCATAATTACATTACCCAAGATTAAAATAAAGGAGAGAATCCTAGAAGCAGCAAGAGATAAGGAGACAGTAACCTACAAAAGAGTTCCCATCAGACTGTCAGTTGATTTCTCAAAAGAGACCTTGCAGGCAAGAAGGGGCTGGAAAGAAGGATTCCAAATCAGGTAAGGCAAGGACCTACATTCAAGATTGCTCTATCCAGCAAAGCTTTCATTTAGAATGGAAGGGCAGACAAAGTGCTTCTCAGATAAGATCAAGTTAAAGGAGTTCACCATCACCAAACCCTTATTTTATGAAATGTTAAAAGAACTTATCTAAGAAAAAGAAGATAAAAAACGTGTATAGTAAAATGACAGCAAACTCACAATTATTAACAACAACACTTAAAATGAAAACAAAAACAAACTAAGCAAACAACTAGAACAGGAACAGAACCACAGAAATGGAGATCATATGGAGGGTTAGCAACAGGGGAGTGGGGGGAAGAGAGAGGGAGAAAACGTAGAGAGAATAAGTAGCCTAGATGGTAGGTAGAAAATAGACAGGGGGAGGACAAGAATAGTATGGGAAATGTAGAAGCTAAAGAACTCATGACACATGGACATGAACTAATGTTGGAGAAATGTGGGTGGGAGAAGGTGTGAAGGGTGGTGGGGAATGAAGGGGGTAATGGCACAACTGTAATAGCATAATCAATAAAAAAAAAGAAAATTCAGAAGTTGTGGGGTGCCAAATCTGGGCTTTAGGGGTGCTGAGTCACCTGGGTGATTTGTTCCACTGAAGAAGTCTGCACGAGATGTGATGCAAGAGCAGGTACATTGTTATGATGAAGCCATCAATCACCAGAAACTCGTAGTTGCTGTCCTTTAGCCTCAAGGGGTGTGCTTGTGATGGACAACACCTTCCCAATCAAAAAACACAGTTAATGTGGTCTTGATCTTGCTGCAACTTTGCTGTTCCTTCTTCAGGTGTGGAGACCCAGGTGACTTCCATAGTGACAACTGGGCCTTCATTTCTGAATCATAACCACAGACCCACAGTTCATCTCCAGTTTTGACCATCTTGAGAAAATCTGGTTCATAGGTAGCAGTTTAAATCAAGTCATTAGCAACTGCAGCACAATGTTCCTTCTGCTCTAGTAGCAGAGGCCCCGAAGGGATTTTCTGTGCCAAGATCCTGTATCAAAATCTAAGACACAGTAGTCTTTGGAATCCCCAGATCAGCTGCTAGTTTTTGAACTGTCAGTCACTAATCTTTGTTGATTGCAGACCTTACACGCTCAACATCCTCAGGTATTCTGCTTCTTGTAGACCTTCCAGAACAGATTTGTTTTCTTTTAATAGATTCTAGACCACCTTTGAAGCATTTCTGTCACACTTTATTGTTTGCACTGCACTCATTGCATCATCCTTGAAAACCTGAATTATCTGAGTAGTTTCCATGGAGGAATATTTAAGTGTATCACAAAATTTGGTTTGTATTCGTGGCTCTACACTTCTGCAGTCATTTTGAATGTGACAGCCACACAGTACACAGGCTCAGTCAGTGGCATCTACTGTCCCTGTCAAATAGTACACACTGCAGTTGTCATTGTTCACATATGTACATTCCAGTCCACTATCCTTGGCTGCCATGTTACATCAATGTCACGCAAACCATTCTCCTTATATTACATGACTGTATTACATTACATTCTCCTTGTGTTACATTCTCCTTATAAATAATGGCTGGATATTTTTCAGACAGATCTCATCATATACACGTATGGGTACCTGATATTTTAAAAAGTCACACTGAAGCAAAAAGAGTAGGCAAAACTATTATTATTTTTTCATAAGTCAATCAAAACTATACCTACTTTTAATTAGTTAATTGTGCCATCAGAGGTGAAAGGTCGAAAATCTCTGGTCTGATGACGCAGACAGCTGCTATGTGATTAGTAACTGGGTAACAGAAACACTGTGAGTACCCTGAATATTCTTTATTCCAATTAATTCTTACTGTATGAGAAGGTGGATGTTAGCTGAATCTATTGTAATAATCATTTTGCAATATATGCAAATCAAACATTATGCAGTAAATTTTCTTTGATACTCATGTCATTTAACTCGTCTTTTAGAAGTATACTTTTTCTGTCCTTCCCATTTTTTTAATAAGGAAAAAACATTAAATTACCTTTGGTTTTACCATACATAGTTAGATTTGCACTTTTGTCATTTAAAACAAATATTCCTATTGAATTACAGACAATTAATAGTGATTTGAAATTGAATCAACAAAAATATAATTAGTAGTTAGATAATAATTTAATCTCTGCCATGGTGATACAGTTCAATATTGTTTAATGTTTTATATTTCACAGAGATATTGTCTTTACCAAGGGAAATCAAAATAACAGTTAATAACAATAAAATGAATGAAAGAATTTTAAGAACTAAGACAAGAAATTGAGAAGAAAAGTATGGGATTAGTGATTGAGACAGTTACCATAAAGGTAAAAATGTAACAATTTTTCAGAATATCAGTGACATGCATCATTAAATATCTATTGTTTATGGAATTATGATTTTAAAATTATTTCCATTATAACAGAAATGCCATAATGAGAATATAAGGAAGAAAAATATGTAAAGCTGAATTTAAATAACTCTGTGTAGGAATACAATTTAAACATACAAAGTATTTTTAACAAGGCCTAAGATCTCAGAGTCTGTGATGAAGATGGAAGGAAGTTCACAGCATAATTGGTCCAGTGTTTGTCCCCTAATACCTTTCAGAGTAAGAAAACAATTTCCAGATACATTTGCCAAAGGATATACTGAATGACACACTATCAGCCCAAAGTCTCCTAGACTCTGGATGTGTGTGATGAGATACAGTCTTCAAAATAGCCCCACTGTAAGAATTTCCTGTTCAAACTTTGACACATTAATGAGAAATCTGCTTGTTTCACTCATGCTGCACTCTGAGCCTTCACAGGTCAGTCTGTGAAGACCACAGATTGTTTGTTTACAAGTTAGCTGGTCTCCCACTAAAGGATGCAGGACTTTCTGGCTTACAGAGGTATGTGTGAGTCTCTCCTCTCTTGTTTCTCTCTTAGCCCATCTTATGTAGGGGGAGATTACAAATGCTAGATGTGATATCAGTGAGGTATGATTAATATACAATCAAGTCAAAGAGAACATTTGTATTTTATTTAAATAATTTACAGTAAAATTCAAGAATAAAATATAAAATATGGTAGAGGATATCTTGAACTACTCAAATTCTTGTCTGTGGAAAATTATTCAAGTTATATAAACAAAAATAACTGAGTGTGTTAATAAAAACAATTTAAAGTAAAAATTCTATGAGAATTATGAAAAGAAATGGCTATTCTTTGATTTTATAATCAATATAGATATAATTATATATTATTTTATATTTAACCCAGACTTTAAAAAGAGGTTTTTTCAATAAATTATGTAAGTTATGGAGGTGAAACATAACATTTTATGCACTTAATTAGATTAAATAAATGTAGTTGGCTTTCAATAAAATCAGGATGAAGTACTCTCATAAAATTCTAATTGAAGTGTAATTGTAAACAATCAAAAGACTTTCTAAAATTGAGCCACCATTGCTAGAGAGCGTACCACACTGATAGACACTTTGCCTAATGAATTAAGCACAGCATTCAAGTGGTATGAATCAGAAATAACATTAAAAGTGTGTTCAAATTACATTAGCATAAGTAAAATATTATTCAGAGCTTAAAAATGGTGAAATATTAAATGTTTTACAGGTATTATGTCTACATGTTTTTATTCCCACTTTATATTAGTAAACTAAGTTGCAAGACACTAAGTCATTTTGTAAAGGTCATACATTGCAAACTTCAAAGCCAGAATTAATTTTAGAACTCACTGGCCACACAGCCTGTTGATTGAATTATTAAATTACAGTATCTGATTCACTACTATGGCTCGCATAACTGAAGATGCCCTGATTTTAACATGCATGGGAACTGTCTTCAAGTTTGAAAACACAGTGTTCTATTATAAATGATCTACACATATTTATTTCTCATTTTATGCTTTTATATCTTTGCCCTTAACTCAGCTGCCAATTTCTTGTGTAACATAAGTATTTTGAAATGTCACTGTTGTTTTCTTGTCAAAAATGTTTAGGTGTTGAATAAGTGTAGTGTGACAGAGATTTTTTAAACATGTGAAACATTTTTATTTGTAATGATTTATCATTCAAAATCAAAGATCATTTGATAACAGCCCATCCACTTTAATGAATAACTATATATCACTATTAGTGCCCCATCTTGAGGGCACTCAGTCTTTAATCATTATTCAATTTCAAATTTATCATAAATATTGTGAGTCTTTTTTTTCTAATATAGCATTTTATTTTTCATACTAGCAGTCTGATGGTGTTAAAATATTTCTGTGAAATCTGACTTAAAATAAATAAGAATGTTATTATATATGAGATTATTTTATTCATCACTAACATACATGTTATTGCTCAAACTAATAATATATCATCAATGTAGAATATCTTCAAAATTGTATCTACCATGAGGCACTTCTTTAAAAGTCCGAGGAATTTAGAACCAGAGTTTCAGATTCTTCAACTAGGAAATGAGTGTAATACTCAACCCCTACCTCACCCAGTGTCACTGTGAGGGATCTCTTCAGTGCGTGTGTCATTTATTCAAAAGCACACATGTTGCAGAGCACAGTCTTAGCCACCACTCAGCTGCAAACATGAGTGATCAAAGAGTAATCTATGCAGAACTTAATCGGGTTAAGGATGCAAAGAGACAGCACATGAAACCTAAGGGCACTAAAGGCTCCATTCCAGGAGCTGAGCAGGAACTAACCTACGCAGATTTAAATCTTCAAAATGCTTCTCAGGATCTTCGAGGGAGTGACAAGAATGACCACTGCAGAGGTAACACATTCAACAGACATAGTATAACTGTTCTAGGATGTGGAGCTGGGTGCAGAGGTGTGGGAAAGAGAAGGAGATAAGCTCACATATTTTTCATCTTAAGGATCAGGACTTGATATTGGAATATGGTGAAAGCTGAGGACTAATTTTATTCAGACATTGTTGTAAGTTGTAGTCTTTGACCCGTAACTTGTAGAGCATTATAGGTAATGAAAATGCACTGAGGCATTTTGAGAGGAAGATTATGGCAGTAGATGCAGATTTCGGGTCCAAGTTTATGGATATGATTCTTTGTGTGTAAACTGCCCAAACACTTGACTCCATCCCTTTTTTCTCAGTGATTCCATTTCCCTCCCTGCAGCATCCCTGCCACCGCCAGAGAAGGTCATTGCTGGGATCCTAGGGGTCATCTGCCTTGTCCTGGTGTGCACTCTGGTAACATACATAGATTTTAAACACTGTGAGTAAATTTTTCTAAGATTGTATGAAACTTTTCACTTCTATGTTTACGAGTGCCTCCAAACATTTCATAATATTACAGAATAGAACTCTCATCTTAAAGTATGTCTTTAGACTAAGTGCAAAATTATTATTCTGAACTTGTCCAAGGTGGACATCTTCAGATGAGCATCTGCATTATTTTAAAAAGTAGTTTTTTAAGTCATTTGCCCATTTTTTAATTGGGTTGTGTGTCATCTTGGAGAGGAGTTGTGTGAGTTCTTTATATATACTTTGGAGATCAAACCTTTGTTTGATTTATCATTGCCAAATATATGTTCCTAAATGTTCATAGCAGCACAATTTACAATAGGAAAGTGCTGGAAGCAACCTAAATGCCCACTGGTAAATGAGTGGATCAAAAAACTATGGTACATTTACACAACGGAATACTACATAGCAGAAGGAAAGAAGGAGTGAAATAAGCCAGGATGTGAAAGACAAATACCTTATGATCGGACTTATAAGTGGACCTAATTGACAAAACAAACAAGCAAAATACAATCAGAGATGCTGAATTGAAGAACAAACTGACAGTAACCAGAGGGAAGAGGGGAGAGGGACAATGGGGGAGAATAGGGGAAGAGCCATCAAGGGACATGTATAAAGGACACATGGACAAAGCCAAAAAGGGTGAGTTTGAGGGTGGAAGGTGGGGATGGGTGGGGTGGGGGGCCTAAGTGGGGTGAAAATAGAGACAATTGCACTTGAACAACAGTAAATAAATAAAAAACAAGTAAAAATTTCAAAAATGTATTTTATATGTACATGTATACATATATATCCCATATATCCATAGATATTCTTGTATTATAATTCAAGGCATGCTTTAGGACACCTTATTGAGAAATACAAATTGAGAATATACATTCTTCATATTGATTAATCCAAATAGTGTAATAGTTGGTGAAGTTTGGTTCTCAAGGCTTTTGAAATATTTTCTCCAAAATTATCATAGTTTCATTAATTTTTCTTGGTAAAATCAATTTTACTTCAGGTTATTTTAATCCTAGACAATATAGCACATTTCAAAGTAAGAAACAAAAGTATTATGATTTATGTAGATCAACCTTTTTATAATAATTACTTCTTTTTCTAGCTAATGCAATACCGGTGCAGAATAATTCTTCTTGTGTATAATATAAACTATACGTTATTTTAACAGGCAGCCAGACAGGTACAGCAGAGAACCCGACAGGGAACCAGAAAGGCACCTAATTATTTTCTATGCTCCAATATTAATACAGTTCCTCTCTTGTCTCTAACACAGTCAAAATTTATAGGTTGTTTTTCATTGGGGGGACATATATTATGATAATAGGCAGTAAATGTACATAAATAATGAATATAGAAGAGTAAATTTCTTATGCAAAAATATGAAGAAATATGCATTTAAATTCATCATACTCATTTTTGTCAACTGGTTAAAAGATAATTTTGGTATTCTAAAAATGTGGTTCCTTTCATTGACATTCAGGACATAGAGAACATGGATATTTTCATTTTGTGTTTGTTTAAATGGGCACATAAATTGGGGAACAAGGGGCTGACCCTTCTCTGTGAGGGTGTGTGAGTGTGTATGAGTGTATTATGCTTTATATATGCCAGTCTGTGAGGGTATATGCATATACTGTGCACTAATTTGTTTATACCTATGCAAATACTGAAATTAATTTTCATTTTAAAATTCATATTGTTCTTGGATAGCAACACATAATCTGTCCTCAGCATATCATTGTGATCAATGCCCACCAGAGTGGTTAATGTATTCCAACAACTGCTATTACATCAGCACTGAAGGAAAAACATGGAATGAGAGTTTGCTGGCCTGTGCTTCTAAGAACTCTAACCTGCTCTATATAGATACTGAGGAAGAAATGGTAAGATTTTTAATGTTTCCAACATTTTATTTAAAAGAGTACTTTATTTTATATTCCTAGAGAATTCATTCATATTTTTGTATATATCTGTAATTTATTATAAAGACTAATACTATTTTATTGTTTGAATCTATAATATTTGTTTCACATTTTATGCCATTAATGTGCATTTGATAATTTTCAGTTCTTGATTTTCATAGACAATCAGGCTTCCATAAATGCTTTTTTACTAAATAAACTTTGCTACTTTATTGTACCATGCATCATGGAGACTATAGATGTGATTGTGTGTGCTACAGACTGAAATTGGTCATGAAGTAGATGTTGCCAGCCCGCTGCTATGCACTTTCTCATAACTTCTCCTCTCTCCTCACTTAACCACTATTCTGAGAGTTTATATCACAAATTATCTGTGCTTAATTTTGAGTTTTAGATAATGGGAATCATTCATTGTTTATCTTACATGTCTCCATTAACTCCCATATGATAATTTTTCAATTAATCCATGTTATTGCATTTATCTGAAGTTCATTAATTCTCACTGCTATATTGTATATACCTGCTATTCGATAATCTATTCTGCTCAGAATAGAGATATTTTTAATATGTGGTTGTTATGAATAATTATTTCATAAAAATCCTTGCATGTCTTTTTTCCAAATAATATATCATATCTAAAGTATTTTATATACAATAACACAATATATAAATTTATGTACCAGAAATGTTATTTTATAATAATATAATAATAACTTATAAATATAGTTGTTCTAATGGTATATGTGTATAATTAAAATGTACTGCGTTTTTGCCTTAGAATGAAATTGCAGGATCAAAACTATAAGTGTATGTAAATGATCTCTGTACCTTCTAGTTTGTTGTGTAAATATGCATTACATCAAATAGCTTCATGATCCAAAGCTTAGTACTGCCAAGAATTTTAAGGTCATCAGTTCTGCTAATTATATAAAAGCATCCTTATGACATTGATAGGTATTTTCCTCATATTGATCTATTGAACACATCTTTCAGAGCACAAGTCATTATGAATTTCTGTACTGTGAGAATGAGAAGTGCCCATTAATGCCTCTTGATCATTTCTCCTGTATGTTACCTGTAATTTTCCTTCTTACAAGTAGTTATACTTTCGATATGACTCTTTTTTGATTTTGTAAGATGCAAATGGCTTTCTTGACTGTTGATTACATTTTGTTTTTCATATTGGAGTCTTTAATGACCTGGGCTTATCAAAGTCACCATAGTCAAATATATCATCTTGGATGTTGGTGGTTATTTTTGACATATTTCACAAGTTAGTCAAAGTTCATGAACATATTCCACTGCATTACTCTTTATAGTGTAGCTTTTTTTTTAAATTGATGGACTTTTTATATTTAGGTCTACAATACTTTGAGAATTAATATTTTTGAGATGCTGTGTTTGTGATGCTGTGTGGTAGAGGTGAAGTTTGTACTTTTCTGCATCACTACCTAGTTGATGCAGCATAATTTGTAGCAGATGATAATTTCTTCATAAACAATTTTATGTACATGGGTTTATATATTTTAACTTAAAATTTAAGAAGATGGTCATTCATTGTGTCCTAAAATTATTTTTTTGGTCTTTTTCTGTCTCTCTCTTTATTCTCAGGCAATAATTACAACGTTGTCGGTTTTACCGAAAAAGTTCTAAAGGTCTCTGAGTCTCCATTAATTTTCTCTCTCTTTCTCTCTACTCTCAGGTATTAATTATTTCTATCACTCCATCTTTATTTCATCAGTTCTTTCCCTTGTGTCTCAATATTTATGTAAATGTATTGAATTTTTAACATAGGTAATGATTTTTCAACTCCCAATATTATTTGATTTATTCATACAGTTTTTATTTCCCTAATTGTTCTGTCACTGCCACCATATTTTCATATAGTTATTTGGACATAGTTTTTAAAATAAACATTATGTAAATATATATTAAAATAACAAATATTAAATATTTGTATAAAAATCCAACATCTTATCCCAGTGAAAATTACATTGTATGGCTGTTTCATCCCCTTGGGTATGGAAGGTATTTTTTAGTTTCTTTGCATGGTTTTAAAATATGGGTAAGTCCATATTTTCAATAACATAATAAAATAAACATAGATCCTCCTACATGCTTACTAGATTTATACTTTTGTAACTTCAGTAAACTATTAACGGTTGAATCATCTCTTTTGAAGTATGCTTACTCAGCTTTTAATATTCTTATTTTATTTTTAGGCTCAATTACTCAGACTCCTCTTGGGTATGCATAGCTCATTTGACAACCAATGATTTTTAAAAATGTATTCAAATACCTCAAGTCATTATGGCTCCACTCTCTGCTACTTGATGTACTTGTGTGTGTATGTGTGTATGTGTATGTATGTGTCTGTAAGGTAGTACTCATAATTTTAAACTCAGTTCTCCAATCATCTTTGGTTTATTTTTTTACAGGATTATCTTTGTTTCTTCTACACAGTACATTTTTTTTCCCATCAACCAAGTAGGTGTAGAGAGTTAATATCACCTCTTATACTGTGCTCTCACATTGAGTACCTTCCTGTTATATTTATAGCTGGCACTGTTCTTGACACAAATGGACTAGAAAAAGGATGGTCTCCCTCATTTTTAACCTAGTGAATTCAGCACTTTGAAAAAGGAGTGAGCAGTTTAACCACCACTTCCAAAGTAATCAGATTTTCCCTGTGGCAACACCAGTGATGTTTTAACATTCCCCAAACAGTAAGAATTACAGTTCTTACTCATGAACTGAGATGGGGAATGGGGGACACATGGGAGCAGTCTTAGACATGAAGACTACAAATTTGTTCTATTTTTACTGGAATCTCTAGCTGCTTTTTCCAATAATTAATACTCATGTTAGTTTTTAGTGATCAAATTTCAGAGGTGCAAAATTGCAGTGTTTGCCATTCACCTAACTATGCTAATACATTTTCTTAATGTGTCCAATATATAAAACTGTATTATAAATGGCATCTCTCTAACCTAGAAAAAATTACCTGTATTTGTTTGTTCCTTTTTGAAATCATCTTTATTTAGGTTGCAAATGTACAGCTTAGTTACTTAATTATTTGATCCCATTTGAAATCTCATAGCTTGCTATATAAAACATTGCCTTTATCAAACTGCTATGTAAGAATACTATAAAATACAAACTATAACCTATATAATTTTCTTTCTATCTTCTGATTAGAATGTTAAAACATCATTGATATGAGTCCAGTCTGGGTAGGTCAGATGGTTAGAGCATCATCAGAATACACTCAGGGTGCTGGTTCATGACCCATCATGCACACACAAGAAGCTCCCAAGGAATCCACACTAAGTGGACCAACTAGCTGATTGCTTACTCGCTCTTGCTCTCTCTCTCTCTGACATATCAATAAAAATAAAGTAACAAACAAAACAAACAATCACATTTATTTAAAAAGGGAAGTGAGTTAATTGCATATATCTATTTTTTTAAATGAAGAATGGTAAAAATGGTTACCTATGTATGAAAACTAAGAGTAGCTGAAAAGCTTGTGAATTTCAATACTGAAACTTTCACCAAGTAGTTCTTGTTTAAATTACCAGTTTTGAAAACAGTCACAACAATGCCAAGCACAACATGGAGAATATAGTCAACAATATTCTAATAAATATGCGTGGTGTCAGATGGGCCCCAGATCCATGGGCGTGGTCACCTCTCAAGGTACACACAGGTCCAAAACAATTTCATTGTTAACAGTAAAGAAAAAACAATTTTTAAATAGTTGCTTTTCAAAATAAGTTCTCTGAAAATATCACTGTCGTATTTTTTATATGGCCCATTTATTAGTGTCCAAAATCATTGTCATTGTTTAATATCAACAAAACCTGCATTCAAATTCTCAACATAGAAATAAAAGCCAGAGGCCAAAGAATTATAACACAGTCATTTAAAATGCAAAGGTTTCCCTGACTAGTATGGCTCAGTTGGTTGGACATTGTTCCATAAAGGGAAATGTCACTGGTTTGATTCCCAGTCAGGGCATGTGCCTGTGTTGTTGCAGAATCAGTCTGGGATCCAGCATAAGAGAGGCAACAAATCAGTGTTTCTCTTTCTTTCTCCCTATCTTCCTCCCTCTCTAAAAATAAATAAATTGAGTCTTTAAAAAATAAATAAAATAAAATATAAAAATTTAGACTTTTATTTTATTCTCCCATGCTAGTGCAGTTGTAGATGTGTAGTTTCCTTTCATGCCTTGTGCATCTCACATCAACATGTGGGGTTCTCTTTCTCATAATCTACTGCCCTTGATGTTTGCTGGTTGGCTTGTTGGATGTGCACTCCTAAAATTTTCATCTTTGGCTTCTATGCCATCACACCTCTTTGCTCCTGAATTGTCATTCCCAGACCTTTAAAAAGTTCATTAAGATCCATAATACCAGCTTCAAGTTGCCTAAGAGAAGACTCTTTCATGAAGAAGGTGGAGGTCATCTTCTGTAATTCCTTCATCCTGCACCTGACCTTGAGGGCGAGGTTACCTTTTCCAGAACACAAAAGTCCTTTCTTTTGAGCTCTCCTCAGGAGTTCCACCAGATGCTCTGGCACAGGCTCCCCACTCATGCAAAACACTCTTTCTCTTTCTCAGCTGCTGGCCTTTGGAGAGTTGGTCAGTCATGCTGTGAATTCAGCCTCTAAGAATTAACCTGTGTTTTCCTTTCACACTGTCCACTGAGGGTGGCAGGAAGAGATACACACTGTTCCATGGACGTATCTGTTTCTTTAGCCAGTTATTCAGAAAATTGCGGCTTCTGCTGCAGCTGCTGTCTCAACTCAGGTGATTCTTACGGTGTTCCATGTTGATTCAGAGTCCTTTACATATGCACACAAGATGGTGTGATCCTCTGGATATTGGATATGCTGGGTCAGCTGGGTGGAGTGACCAACAAGTCCTGGACCTCAGGACGTGGTTGATTGCTTATTCACTAATGTCATCAGTGTTGGTGGGCTGTGCAGTTTACTTAGCTGTCACCTCCTCCTCTGACTATGAGCCAACTTTATTTGTTTTTACAAATACAGATTAATATACCAGCTTTTTCTCAGTTTCTCATAAAATTTGTTTCCCCATAGAATTTTTTGAACATTTTTGAAATGTATGCATGGATTGGACTGTCCCGGAGAAATAATACTAATTCTTGGGTGTGGACAATTGGCACAAATCTCTCTTCTGAACTGTAAGTTTCTTTAGAATGCATATACTATATTCTCTCATGCTTTGAAATCAGGAAATAATCTGAGAAATAAAAAGCAATGTGTGAACAAGTATATGAAGAAATATTAAAGTGATTTTGTGGAAAAGTTTTAGGAAATATTCAGATTTAGTATGTAGATATTACTGTAAATAAATTATTTATTAAAATGTTAAGTTATATATCACCAGATTAATGATTTATTATCTCTGCATTTCAGATTTTCAAAAACTTCCAAGTTGGACAAGAATTGTGTATTTGGGGATTTCTACAGACACATGTTCTATTCTAGATCCTGTTTAGAACACAACACATATGTTTGTAAACACCAGGCACGTTAGCTTACACAAATTTGGTATAATGTTCCTCTCACCATCCTTAAAGAACAGATTTCTAGTTTCTTCAAGAATAGTTTTTGCAAAACTGACTTTTAGTAACTTGTTTTGAGATCAGGTTTAGTTTCACCACAAACATAAGAGGAAGGTACTGAGGTTTCCCATGTTCCCTGTGTCCCCTGCATGCAGAGCATCCCTATTATCAGCATCACTCAGGAGAGTGGGACATTGGTTACAGAGAGTAAGTCTGTACTGACACATTGTTGTCACTTAAAGTCCATACTTTACTTGATGCTTCATCTTTAGTACTGTAAATTTTTTATAATCTGTATTTATATTAATGTTTAAAATGTATATTTGGGTATGCATTAAACATTTTTAAAGCCCTTGCTGGCATAGCTCAGTGGATTGAGCGCGGGCTGGGAACCAAAGTGTCCCAGGTTCGATTCCCAGCCAGGGTACATTCCTGGGTTGCAGGCCATAACCCCCAGCAACCACACATTGATGTTTCTCTCTCTCTCTCTCTCTCTCTCTCTCTCTCTCCCTCCCTCCCTCCCTTCCCTCTCTCTAAAAATAAATAAATAAATAAAATCTTTAAAAAAAAAGAATGTTATTAAAAAAACATTTTTAAATCTACTTTTTATTAAAAGATATTAAGTATAAATGATGAATTGTAATATTAAGTGCTGCTCTTTCTAAGTCCAAAATGACATGAATAATTATAGATACATTTTCAGTATAATTTTCCCCAGCCTTTGAATGATGAAAATGAGGATTGAATGTATCAGAATAAGAAGGTGTGTAAGGCAATTGAGTTAGGAGAGAGAAGCCAGGGATGATTTAAGGAATTATTAACTATTTGTTGGGGATAGCCTCCAGAGAGGGGTAGAAAAAACTACAAAATATACCAAGGAAGATTACCAAAAGGGAGACTCATATGAAACCCAGGGCTACCTCCTCAGGGATGGATTTCAGACTTTTTAAAAAATTTTAATTGCTGTTCAAGTACAGTTGTCTCCATTCCCATCCCCCCCCCCCACTCTCCCCAACCCCAGCCATCCCAGCTTCTTACCCATGAACTTACTGCCCTTGGCTTTTTTTGTGTGTCCTCTATACATGTTCCTGAAAACCCTTTCTCCTTCTGCCCATTACTCCCTCCCACCTTCCTTCTGGCTACTGTCTGTTCTTTATTTCAGTGTCTCTGGTGTATTTTGCTTGCTTGCTTGTTTTGTTGATTAGGTTCCACTTATAGGTGAAATCATATGGTATTTGTCTCTCATTGTCTGTTTTATTTCACTTAGCATAATGCTCTCCACTTCCTCCAAGCTGTTGCAGAGGGTAGGAGCTCCTTTTTTCTTTCTGCTGGGTAGCATTTCATTGTGTAAATGCACCATAATTTTATGTAAATGATCATTCATTTCCTGATGGGCACATAGATTGCTTCCAGCACTTGGCTATTGTAAATTGTGCTGGTATGAACATTGGGGTGCATATGTTCTTTTGAATTGATGTTTCACGATTCTTAGGGTACAATCCCACCAGTGGTATTGCCAGTCAAAAGGCAGCTCCGTTTTCAGTTTTCTGAGGAAATCCCATGCCATTTTCCTCCATGGCTGTACCAGTCTGCATGCTTCTCTAAAGTGTATGAGGATTCCTGTTTGTCCACAACTTCTCCAACACTTGTTTGTTGATTTGTTTATGAGGGCCATTCTGAAGGGTGTGGTGTGGTATCTCATTGTGGTTTTAATTTGCATCTCTCTGATGACTAGTGATGCTGAGCATCTTATGATATGCCTCTGGGCCCTCTGTATATCCTCCTTGGAAAAATGTCTGCTTAGGTCTTTTGTCCATGTTTTAATTGGGCTGTTTGTCTTCCTGGAGTGGAGTCATGTGAGTTTTTTATATATTTTGGAGATCAAATCCTTGTCCGCATTATCATTTGCAATTATATTTCCCCATACAATTGATTTCCTTTTCATTTTACTGCTGTTTTCTTTAACCATTTGCAGAAGCTTTTTTTTTATAAGTTCCCATTTGTTTATTCTTTTCTCAATGTCCCTTACTCTAGAGAACATCTAGGTGAAAATATTGGTATGTAAAATATCTGAGATTTTACTGCCTATGTTCTCCTCTAGGTCTTTTATGATGTCACAACTTATATTTAAGTCTTTTATCCACTGTGAATTTATTTTTGTGTATGGTATAAGTTGGTGATCATGTCTCATTCTTTTGCATGTAGTTTCCAGATCACCCAACACCATTTGTTGAAGAGGCTATTTTTACTCCATTTTATGCCTCTGTCCCCTTTGTCAAATAGTAATCGACCATAGAGACTTGAGTTTATCACTGTGCTCTCTGTTCTGTTCCATTGGTCTATCTGTCTGTTCTTGTGCCAGTACATGCAGTACGTACTGATTACAGTGACCCTGTAACATAGTTTTATCAGGTATTGTGATCCCTCCTACTTTGTTCTTCTTTCTCAAAAAAGCCATAGCTATTTGGACTTGTTTATGGTTCCATAGACATTTTTGAAATGTTTGTTCTATATCTGTGAAATATGTCATTGGTATTTTAATAGGGATCATGTTGAATATATAAATTGTTTTTGTTAAACGGACATTTTAATGATGCTATTCTTCTAATCCATGAACACAGTATATGCTTCCATTTATTTGTGTCTTCCTTAACCAAGTGGGATTATCCAATGGATGCAATGACGGTGTAACATTCACAAATCAATAAATGTAATACATCACATAAACAGAAGGAAAGATAAAAATCACATGATCATATCAATACATATAGAAAAAGCATTTGGTAAGGTCAGCACCCATTTATGGTAAAAACACTCAGAAAAGTTGGAGTAAGGCAGCATTCCTCAACATGAAAAAGGCCATATATAAGACACCTACAGCCAACATCATACTTAATGGGCAAAAACTAAAAGTTTTCCTGCTGAGATCTGGAACAAGACATGGGTGTCCACTTTCACCACTTCTATTTAACATATTATTGGAAGTCCTAGCCACAGCAATCAAGCAAGAAAGAAAAATTAAAAGCATCCAAATTGGAAAGGGGGAAGTAAAACTGTCACTGTTTGCAGATATGAGAATGTACATAGAAAATCCTAGAGACTCCATCAAAAACCTACTCAACCTAACAAGCAAATTTGGCAAAACAGCAGTGTTTAAAGTAAAAAATTTAGAAATCAAAGGCATTTTCATACACCAAAAATGAAAGATTAGAATCAGAAATCAAAAAACTATATACCATTTATTATAGCAGCAAGAAAAATAAAGTACCTAAGGAATAAACTTTACCAAAGAAGTGAAAGACCTTTACTCAGAAAACTACACAACACTGAAGAAAAAAATTAAAGAAGACACATTTGCTTTTCATAGAAAACTGTGATTCTATATATGCTTGCTTTCTAAAGTAAACCTTACAACTTAATTTTTTATTATATCATGGACACTAAACATATCATAATTGAGCAGATTGATTACACGGGGAATGGAACCATGTAATTACAAATCAGATGACAAAATGCAGTGGGCAGTCCTCCACAGCCCTGCTCCTGAGGACCCGTTCTCTTACCGCTTCTCCTCCTTCACTGCTTACCCCCTGGGATGACTCTTAATATTGTACAGTCTCTTCACTTGTTTTTGAACCAAATATAAGTGAAATCCTACAGTAGACATTTTTCTTCTTGTCTATTTTCATTTCCAGATGCTATTGTTGTATTTTATTTATATTGTATTTATCCACAGTTCATTAATTTTCACTGCTGAGTAATATGAATATAACATTTTAAAATCCATTGCATCTGACATCTTTCATTGAGGATGTGGGTCTCACATCTTCAATAGGCTCTTCAAACGGCTCTTTCTAAGTCTATTACATTAAAGTCTAACCAATTAGTACTTTACATTCCCATATAAGCAGCCCTACTATCTACTTTTACTTACTTTGTATGCCATATTTGCTCCCTTGAATTCTAATACAGTATTTATTTAAAGATTTGAAATTTTATCATCGATATTTTTATTGACTCAATATCCAGATAGATATACCCACATAATTTATTTTCTATAACTCCTCTTTCCTTTCTTTATATTCTAGTTGTCATCTAGAAAAAGTTTTCATCTTTAGAAGACTCAAATATTTTCTTTAGTGAGAGACAGTTAATAATTTTCTCCATTTTTGAAATTTCTTGAAAATGAATGAGTATTTTTACCTGGTATTGAATTTCAGTTTGCCAATCTCTCTTACATTACTAGGAATTATTACTGGAAATAACTGTAGTCAAATACAGTCAAATATGCATGCATATATTTATATATACATATTTATAATATATGCACATTTTATAATATATATTTATAAGATTCAATTCTAACTACTCATTATTTTTAGTAGTTTTTATCATGCTTTCATATTTTTAGAGTATAAATTTCATAAAATTAAATGACATAAAAATCATATTTGTACATGTAAAAAACGAAATAAAGATATGACATTTTTTAATTCAGAACACCGATATGAATGACTATAAGAATAAGTGTATCAATTTTACAAAGACATTAGTGAGATTTACATTATTTGACATTATTAAGAAATGACTTAATTGATATAATTCTATAATGCATTAATAGAAAAGATGATTAATTTTATTCATAAAAATGTAATGTTCTTAGATACAAATGAAATTGAAAACACAATTTTAAGAGAGAAATTGAAATCAATAATTGCTTACATTTTAAAACAAGAGATATCCGAAATAATCAACCTAACTCTATGCGTTAAGAAACAAGAAAGAAACTGAGCATAAAGTCAGCAGGAGAAATAAAATAAACATTAGAACAGAAATGAGTGAACTGAGGGTTGAAAAACAATAGGAAAGATTATCCAAATTAAGAGTTACTTCTTGAGAAAATAAACTGACAAACCCATAAGCAGACTAACCAAGTAAAAAAAAACATACAGGACCCAAGTTAACCAAATTATGAAAGGAAAGAAGTGGTTACAGCTAAAACCACAGAAATTAAGAGGA